GGCCGCGGACCTTGTACTCCGCCTCGGTCAAGCCAAACTTGACCCATGGAAACTATCCTGGCTGTCCATTTCCGGCCTGCGATGCTGATTTCACCTTCCCATTGTTGCGGGACTTGTTGGTGCTTCGCGGCTGGACAACGGCCACCTGATCTCCGTCGCTTGATGCTGGAGTGGCTGTTGGGTTATCTCCACTGTCCTGCTGGACTGCAGCGAAGTGCTGCTGTCGCGGACCAGTTCGTACCTTCTCCACATAGGTCGGCTGCCATGATGTTGATTTCTCGTGTGCAGCTGACCTGTTGATCTTGATGATCTCCCTCGCTTTGTCAATGATGTCCGCGAAGGTTGAGTACTGCTCGCGATCACCAAGAGCCTGGCTCAATGCCGCACAGGACCTGTTGTAGAACTCACGACGTAGATGCTCGAATGGTAGGTTCAGATTGGGCACAACCGCAATCTTCTGCCACTCCGTGAGCCAGTCCCGTGTTGCTGTGTTGCCCTGTGATATGGTGAACAAACGGTTGATGGCGAGTGCCGGCGCGTCGTCGACGATGAACCGCTTCTTCCACAGCCGTGTCAGTTCCTCCCATGTGATTACATCCTTCAAGTCTGGTACGTCGACGCCGTGGGAGGTTGCCAGGTGGCTCAACCAGGTCTGGCATCCGCCCTTTGAGTTCAAGAACAGGGCGTCGATGTACGCATGCTTGGCTACTGGCAGAATCCTGAGTTGTGTTGTGAATGCTTCCCACCAGAGGACGGGATCCTGCTGCGTGTAGTCGTCGAACCTCTCCAGGTTGAAAGTTGGCATCTTGTACATCTTCGGATTGTTGTCCGCGTTCGTCGACTGCAGCTTCTGGACCTCGGTCTTCAATGTATGCAGCTGACTGCTGATGGTGGTGGTCGGCGCAGCGAAGGTGCTGATGTCGCCGAGCATTGCCACTACGTGGTCAACGAGGTCCTCCAGTTGGCGGCTTGAGGGTGCACTGCTGGAAGCTCCAGCAGCTGGTCCTGGTACAGCCTGTTCCAGGTCCAACAATCGGGCATTAAGTGCCCGAGTTGCATCCTCGTGGCCCTGCACTGTGCGGCGGAGCGTCGCTAACTCCTGATGCTGTCTCTCCAACTCTGACCGTTGGTAGTTGCAAGCATACAACAACCGCGTCACGAGTTTGGAGAGGAACTCCTTGTGCTTCTCTTCCGGTGTTGTCTCGTCGCCGTTTGGTTTAAAATGCCAGTTCTTGAGTCTGTCGATGCTGTTGGCTTCATGCCGCTGCAGCAGATCCTGGGCTTCCTTGCGGCGAGCCTGGGCATCTGCGTCTGCATCGGCCTGTAGCCGCAGCTTCTCTGCTGCTGCTGCCTCTTCAGCCTGTACGCGGGCAGCCTCGACTGCCAGCAGGCGTTGTTCCTCAGCCTCTATCTGAGCCAGGCAACGCTGCTTGTAGGCGGCAATGGTCTCATTGGCCAGTTGGCCTGGCAGGCCCGTCATGTTGCTGACGTGGCACTGTGTCAGACGTCACTGCTGATGTGGCACTGTGTCTGATGTGGCACTGCTGTCGTGGCACTATGTCTGACGTGGCAATGTGACCTGGCACTGCTGACGTGGCACTGCTGATCTGGCACTGTGACGTGGCACTGCTGACGTGGCACTGTGACGTGGCACTGCTGATGTGGCACTGCTGATCTGGCACTGTACCGAAACGGGGTGCATGCAAGGGGTGGGTGGGAGGGAAAACGGAGGGAGGTAACCAACCCAACAATACTTTCC